ACTAAGCTTTCTATCAAATTCATGCAAAATAAAGGAATGATCTGCTCCCGAATCAAATAAAATCATGTTGGTTATGTTTAAATATTAAAAACTTAAAAACAAAGTCCTTTGGGGAGGGGATGGAGATGAAGCTGATGGTTGTGTAATTGCTGAAGAAATCAAGAAACATATCCTTTTTGAAAAATCGACTACATTTCAACAAGAGCCACCATAATACAAAATTCAGTTGGGTGAGGGGATGAAAATGAACGTGGATACGCAACGAAATTGCTTAACTTTTCACTTTTTGGTGAGGGCTTCTTTATTTCTAGGCGAGGGCCGCCACAACCATAACCATCCTCCACCTACCTTTGTCATTAAATAATTAAAGTTTTTTAGGTTGGATTTAAGGAAACGAGAAGCAAGAAAGGATCGATTAGGTTCATATCCCTTTCTTTTTTATTTGAAAAACAAACCTAAATCAAATATGAACTTCCATGAATTCGTTTTCTTTATTATTGTTAACCATATTATAATAAAACAAACATTTTGTTTGACACATTATATATTTTTATATTTTTATATACAATGATGCAACATGTCAATTTTTAGTATTTATTTTTTATTTCATTTGATGTAAATCTCAAATTTTAACGAGTTTAAAATTGACTTCTAGTTTTTTTCCGGATAATCTTCATAACACGATGTGCAGTCAACAGCGGTGGGATAACGGTTACCGGTAGTTGGCAAAATAGCGGTCCAAAATTGCGGTACTACAAATATCCAATATTCCACCCATCTTTGACAACCAAATATGATTTTTGATTATCTTCAACCCTTGATTGTCTTCCTTGAACACTAACGCCTTTCTCAATGTTGTTCTTTCTTTGTGTCATCTGCTAAAGCTCTTGTCTGAGCTTTCTTGATCTTCTCTATAATCTTTGATATTACGTTAATCTTGAATGATCTAGCTCTTTTCTGTTCTAGAGTTACCTTTCTACTCAAGGCATCGGCTACAATTATTTTCTTTACATGGGTGATAAAGTATTTCACAATCGTAGTCTTTGAGTAATTCCAACCATCACCTCTTTCTCATGTTCAATTCTTTCTAAGTAAATAAATATTGAAGACTTTTATGATCTGTAAACAGTTTGCATTTCGTTCCATAAAGATAATGTCTCCAGATATTTAAGGCAAAAACCATTGCTCCAAGCTCTAGATCATGTGTTGGATAGTTTAGTTTGTGAATCTTCAATTGTCTTGAGGCATAAGCCACCACTTTGTCTCTCTGGGCAAGAACACATCCTAATCCAACTCCAGAAGCATCACTAAAACTGCAAATTCATCAGTTCCTTCCGGTAGGACGAGGATTGGTGTTTCGCACAATTGCTTATTTAGTTAACCAGAAGCTACTTCTTCCTTTCTCGTTCCAAGTGTAGGTAATCCCTTTCCGAGTCAAGGTTGTAAGTGGAGCAGAAATATAAGAGAATTCTTTGATGAAACTTTAGTAGTATCCTGTCAAACCAAGAAAACTATGTACTTCTGTGGGACTTTTTGGCGTCTCTCATTTCATAAAAGCTTCAATCATTGTTTGTTCGACCATTATACAATTATGGCTAACCACATGACCCAAGAGTTGTACTTCTCGAATCCATAAATCACACTTGGAGAACTTTGCGTAAAGCTTCTCATTCTTCGGGATTTCTAATACATCTCAAAGGTGTCTACCATGATCTTGATCGTTCTTGGAGTAAATCAAGATGTCATCAATGAACATTATAACTGATTTATCGAGAAAATGTTTACAAACTCGATGCATCAAATCCATGAATGTGACTGAAGCAATTGTTAGTCCAAATGACATAATAATGAATTCGTAGTGTCCATACCTTGTTCTAAAGGTTTTGTCAACATCTTGTTCTCTTACTTTCAATTGATGATAACCTGACTTGAGATCAATTTTTGAAAAGCAAGTCGCTTCTTGCAATTGATCGAACAACTCATTTATTTTGGGTAGTGGGTATCGGTTCTTTATTGTAGCTTTGTTTAGCTCTTGATAGTCAATACACATTCTCATCACACCATCTTTCTTATTTACAAAGAGTATTGGAGCTCCCCAGGGTGATAAACTAGGTCTGTTGAAATCATAATTCATGGAGTTGTGTCATTAACTCTTTCATCTCTGTAGTCGCTAATCGGTATGGTGCTTTTGCAATCGGCGTCGTGCATGGCATTAAGTTAATTCTGAACTCTAACAGTCTCTGTGGTGGCAATTCTGGTAGATCATTTGGAAATACCTTTGGAAATTCACACACCACTCGTATTTCACTCATTGTCTTCTTTTCATTATTCGCGTCAACCGTATAGGCCAAGAATGCAATACATCATTTATTAAGACATCTTCTGGTTTTCATTATTGTAATGATTCCATACTTCACTCTACTCTTATCACCATATATGACGAATGATTCTTTTCTAGGAGGATTGATACGCACCATCTTTCTTCGGTATAAGTTGTCTGTAAAATTTGCTCCCAACCAGTCCATTCCCAAAATGACATCAAACTCGTTTAACTCAAAGGGTAATAAACCTTTATGGAATTCGTTCCCGTTGAGGTTGATGGTTACGTTTTCGAACTTATTACTAACTATACATTCCTACCACCAGTTAATTCTATCATTACTGGAGAATTTAATCTATGTGGTGATAAACTAAGCTTTCTATCAAATTCATGCAAAATAAAGGAATGATCTGCTCCCGAATCAAATAAAATCATGTTGGTTATGTTTAAATATTAAAAACTTAAAAACAAAGTCATTTGGGGAGGGGATGGAGATGAAGCTGATGGTTGTGTAATTGCTGAAGAAATCAAGAAACATATCCTTTTTGAAAAATCGACTACATTTCAACAAGAGCCACCATAATACAAAATTCAGTTGGGTGAGGGGATGAAAATGAACGTGGATACGCAACGAAATTGCTTAACTTTTCACTTTTTGGTGAGGGCTTCTTTATTTCTAGGCGAGGGCAGCCACAACCATAACCATCCTCCACCTACCTTTGTCATTAAATAATTTAAGTTTTTTAGGTTGGATTTAAGGAAACGAGAAGCAAGAAAGGATCGATTAGGTTCATATCCCTTTCTTTTTTATTTGAAAAACAAACCTAAATCAAATATGAACTTCCATGAATTCGTTTTCTTTATTATTGTTAACCATATTATAATAAAACAAACATTTTGATTGACACATTATATATTTTTATATTTTTATATACAATGATGCAACATGTCAATTTTTAGTATTTATTTTTTATTTCATTTGATGTAAATCTCAAATTTTAACGAGTTTAAAATTGACTTCTAGTTTTTTTTTCCGGATAATCTTCATAACACGATGTGCAGTCAACAGCGGTGGGATAACGGTTAGCGGTAGTTGGCAAAATAGCGGTCCAAAATTGCGGTACTACAAATATCGACGATATTGACCGGTATTTGACCGCTATTTGACTGACATTTGGCAAATATCAGTGGGATAGTGGTGAAATAACGGTTATATCTAAAGTTTTTATTAAATCACTTCATTTATTATTAAAATGTATATATATATATATATATATATATATATATATATATATATATATATATACATATATATATATATATATATATATATATATATATATATATATATATATATATATATATATATATATATACTAGCCGTCTACCCGCGCCAAGCGCCAGGTGCGACTTTTTTTCTTCAGAAATCAGTTTGTATATAGGATTAGTGTTTTTGCGCAAATAGTTTACTACACATAAACAATTATCAATAAGAGTCATGCTAGCAGAAACAAAATCAAAAATAATTAAAAATGAAAAGTTGGGATTCTTTAAAAATGAATATGAACACATGATTGGCTGGTCATTATTAATCATGCAACACTTCTTTATACACGGCATTTGACATATAGACTTCACTGTCGTTGAATTGTTCATCGGATTTCACCAATACTTTTTTGGTGGCACGTGATATCCCTCTGGATAATGCCACATAAAGTTGGCCATGCGAGAAAACCGATTCTGGAAGATAAATTCATACATTTGGAATTGTTTGTCCCTGAGCTTTATTTATTGTCATTGCAAAACATAATCGAATTGGAAATTGCTTTCTCTTCAGCTTGAACGGGAACATGTCATCTTCAGACGGACTTAGAGGAATCTTTGACAAAAATACCCTCTTTCTAGCATGTTGACCAACAGCTATTTCGGCATCAATGACATTGTGCTGAAAACTTTTACATAGCAATCGGGTGCCGTTACATAATCCATTTGTCGGGTCGAGATTCCGTAACAGTATTATCGGGCATCCAACTTTCAGTCTTAACTAATGAGGGGGCAAACCACTAACACTGAGTGTGTTCAAGAATTCCACAGGATAGAAGTTATTTATACCGTCCAGGGCTTCATCAAAACTATAGTAAATTCTCTCTTTTCCATGGAATCATCCGATCAAATAATCATTAATCTCATCGACACTATCATTTCTTGTGGATAATATTGCACGTGAAATAATATAATCTGTTTCAGATCTATTAGTTTCAAAGGATGGAAAGATTGCATCAATCAAAGCATGCAATGACTTTTCTTTTTCAGTGAAGGGAATTACCATATCATCAGGGATGCGAATAACGTTTCCGTGCACCGTTTCTTCAACTCCTTTACCAACACGTAATAGAAAGTCTGAGAACCATGGATAGGTTAGTGCTCTCATATTTATAGTTAACCGCAACTTGATAATCGAAGACCAAAGAGGCGACATCCGTATGCTAGAATCCACAGTCTGTGCTCGTGTTCCACGTCTAACGACCGAAAACACTTGTCTGAAGTCACCTCCCAAAACCATTATCTTTCCACCAAATGGGTGCATCACCCCAGTGATATCTTTCATTGTACGGTCAACCGCCTCCAACGCATGTCTTTTAGCCATCGACGCTTCGTCCCAAATTATTACTTTTGCAGTCTAAAGTAGTTGTGCAGTACCACTTTGTCTTGAAATCTTGCAGACCGAGTTATTTTCAAGATTGATAGGAATCGTAAAGCGAGAGTGAGCTGTTCTTCCCCCGAGCATGTTATTAGCCGCAACACCCGATGAAGAAATCACGAGTGCAATATGACCACACGAACGAATATTAGCAACTAAAGCTTTGTACAAAAATGTTTTTTCTGTTCCACCAGGACCGTCTATGAAGAACACTCCTGGAATATCATTATGGACATGCCGCATGATCTCATCATACACAAACTTTTGTTCGGGATTGAGAGAATCTCGGGCTTGTAAATGTTCAGGTTCTAAAACAATAGAGCACTCTTCTTGTACCTCACAAAAAACTCCAAATTCTAAATCAACATTTTGATTTATTTTTGGAAGATCAAAATCATCAATACGGTCACCCATAGATTGTAGGAATACCATGATTTCAGTGAGGACCATATTCTGGACTCTCTCAACACTTCCGTATTGTCGCCTATAATCTTCTGAAATACCATTGTAGTAGTCATGCCATAACCTACGAACATCTCCTGGCTCACAAAAACTCAATATCGTCGCAAGCAGCCTTCTAAGAGCATTGGGAAATTGAAACAAAGATGCCTCTGTAAGACATTGAGACAAACCATCATCGGACTCTATTAAGCCTCTTTTGAGAGTTGCTTTCCGAAATGTTGGGTATTTTATGTTGTTGACCGTATAGAGATCTTCAAAACACGTAGGGCCATTAATATGCAATAAAAGTAGGCGAAGGTAGTATCGCTCCCCTTCAGCAGGATTAGCAGAAACCAAACGACCTCACATTAATCCTAGTTTTCGATGATTCCAATGACGTGACTTCGTATCCCACATAAATTTTTTAGGAAAATCTATGTATTTATATTCTCTTGCACGAATATCTTCTTTATTTTAAAAAAAAAAGGTAGTCAACATTAATCTATTATCTCTCTCCTTTTCAACAACGCTAGTCAGCATATCATCCTCACTGAACCTAACCATCTGTTGATTTGGGAGATGAACCTGCAAAGCCATCACACAAGGGTATATCTGAGAAAGGGGGAAGCTAAAAATCATCCATATTGCCTCAGGAGGTGAGACATATCGTGCATCTTGATACCGTTTTATCTCATTGATATAAATTGGTTGTCCATCCGGATCAATATTGATAACTTGTTTGTCATGACCCTTGTAAATATACTTAAACACATATTTCACGGAGGTTATACTCGAGCATACCTCAACATTCACATGGAAGTTAAACATCATTAACAACTTTGGGTTATATGGGACAACCCACCTGTTATCCATCTTATTGCCTCGTATGTCCACCTCTATACCATTATCTCTTCTTCGGTACACAGGATATGAATCCTTTCCTTGTAACGTTTTCTCATTGAATTGTCGAGGGTATCTAAAACGACATTTATTTTGCTCATTATTCTTACAAGGACAATCAGAGTTTAAGCTACCACAAGGACCATGTATCATGTGTGAGACGACCAATTCGTGCATTTTAGGATACCTTATTGGGTCTGGAATTTCAGCATGATATGTGCATATTTAGCTATATATTTCGTATAGAATTTTAATACTTTTTGGCTAATTTATTGCAATTTATGGATAAAAGGTACTTAATTATGTTTAAACTGTATTTTCAGCCTAAAAGATGTGCTCGGAAGCGAAAGGAAGTGGGAAATGCAATCGGGAGCTTGGGGATTGAAGAAAGAAGAAAAAGAGTTAAAATCATGAAGAACTCAGCGAGTTGGATGCCTACTCGACGAGTCTACACGAACATTAGCGAAGCAAATAGAAGTCCTTGCCGTACACGGGTTTTTAATGAGGGAACTCGGCGAGTCGGTTATTGGACTCGGCGAGTAGCCTCTGTTTTCAGGAATCTATAAATAGGAGTCAATTGCCTGAAACCAAACCTTTCTCTGGAACCCTTGGGGATTAAATTGCGACTGGAGGTGCACCTGGAGCTCTGGAACTCATGGAACAACCCTAGCTTTCAATTTTGAGAAGATCAAAGGCAATTTTAGTTTACTCTTTACTTAATCTTTTGTTTGAACTATGTGTGAACTATTAGATTTCGTTTTTAAGCTACATTTTGTTGAAGTCATGAGCTAAAACTCATATCTTCTATTTAGGGGTAGATGAATTTATGACTATGGTTTGATTTTGTGGTTGGATTAATTGAATTTGGTGAGTTTTGTTTTGTTAAGCTTGTTAAAGAACCTTATGTATTAACAACAACTATTTTATGTTAATTAACAAGTATATTAAGCTGCATGAACATCTCTTAATTGCTTATCTCATATGATTTATGTGAAAACATTGTTATGTGCCTAGGAATAGTGAACGTGAAACTAGGGTTAGCTAGAAAATAGGAAAGTTAATGTGTGAGCTTGTGTGACGAACCATCAACAAGAGGTTAATTGAATTAGTAATTTGATTAGCTAATTACAAGTCTTACTTAACCCGAATCAATAAACTAGGAAATTTATTAGTTTAATCACTTGATCACTGCTTAAATTGATTTGTTTTCTAAGGATTAGTAATAGCGAACGTGAACCTAATCACATTAATCGGTAGCCAATAACAATTAATCCATTGTACTTGCCATAAAATCAACCATAGGAGTAAATGAATCGAACCTAAACATAAGTCTTCTCCATTATTGAATTTAGTTTATTGTTTAATTGCTTTAGTTGTTAGTTGCTAATTTGAGTCTTATTTAATTGTTTAAGTTTCTAGTCTTGCAAAACTAGAGAAAACCTTTCCTTTTATTAATTGTTTTTAGATAATTTAGTAGTTAGTTTATTTACCGTTCCCTGTGTTTGATACCCTACTTGCTTAAACTAAACTGCTATCGATAGGTACACTGCATGCGTGTGTTTGTTTTTATTTGAGTTTGTTAGGATTAAAACTAGTTCGTTTAACACACATCAAGTTTTTGGCGCCGTTGCCGGGGAACGGTTCTAAAATAAATTTTAATTGCTAGTATTATCGATCCTTTGTGTGAGAACTATCTTTGCACAGAGTTACTGCTTTAGTAGTTTAGTTGTTAGGATTTTTGATATATTTTTTTTCTGTTTTACCCTCGAACTCGTCGAGTCCATTCGCAGGTACTCATCGAGTCCATCGTGAAATTTCCAGTTTTGATTTTAGTTTTATTTTGTTCTTTTTACTCGTGTTTTCTGTTTCTTTCAGGTATTTTATGACCCGAGGATCAGGCACACCCTTGATCCTGCCACTCACAAACCCGGAATCAGCTCTTAGGAAGGACAAGGACAAAACTGTAGAATCATCTTCAACACCAAAAAAGTCACCATTTAAGAGCCTCAAATCAGCTTTTAGAAAGAAAAAGGGCTAGAAAGTTGGAGAATCCAACACCTCATTGACGGACGAAGACCCTAGGAAAGAAGACACCGAGTACGAAACAGAAACCGAAGAAGAAAGAGAAGTAGAAGGCGAACCCGATAACACCATGGCTAACATTGCGGATCTCACCATGGGTGAGTACAACAAGAGGATGTGTGATGATACCGGGTCGGGACTAGTGCAACCTGCAATTCCAACAACTGCTGAGCTAAAAGGCCACATTCTCACCCAACTCAAGGACATCCCATTCTACGGGAAAGATCACGAAGACGCGTACAAGCACATCGACGATGTCAACGACATAGCCGACTATTTTTACATCCCGAACGTTCCTCGCGAGACTGTTTTGCTTCGTATGCTACCAGTCACATTTAAGGGGGCTGCGAAAGATTGGCTGAAATCACTTCCCCCAGGATCCATCACCACTTGGGCGAAAATGCGTGAAGAATTCATTGACCAATTTTGCCCTCCTTCAAAAATAGCAAAATTGAAGAAAGCCATTGCTAACTTTGAGCAACAACCGGGCGAGTCACTATATGAGTGTGGGAGAGATATAAAGGCTTGTTGAGGAATTGCCCCCACAATGACTTGAGCGTTCAACAAGAAGTCTCCATTTTCTATAATGGAATAAATGTTACCACTAGACAACTCCTTGACTCTCAAGGCCCATTGACAAAGAAAAATCCCACGGAAGTTAAGGAACTTATTGAATAATTCTCTAAGCACTCTAGAGAATATCATAACCCAAGGAATGACTCAACTTGGGGGGTGGTGAACTCTATTTCCGATGACATGGCAGCAATGATGGCAAAATTGGAAAGCATGGATCGAAGAATGACTAAGATGGACCAATCCATCCATGCCATTAGAGTGGAATGTGACAACTGTAGAGGGCCTCACCTTACTAAAGATTGTGAGCTTGATGAGAATGGGAATCGGAAAGCTCAAGTGTGCTATTCAAGCGGTGATAGATATGATGATGATTGGCGAAAACCCAAGAAATAAAGGCTACCTTATTATGAGTACAAAAAGGCGAAGGAGGAAAAGTATAGGTAAAAAGCAAGAGGCTGTTATCAAAAGGAGGAGCCGGTGCAAGAAAAGAAATCGGATTTGGAAGATATGTTTACAAGATTCGTAGCCGCATCCGAGAAAAGGCATAACGATACCAATGCTAAATAAAAGATCAACAAAACATGTTGAGGGAGCACCAAATTATGATGAAAGATCAACAAGCTCTACTAAGAAATCAGCAAGCTTCCATTCTCAACATTGAGAAGCAGCTAGGCCAACTTTCACAACAAGTGAACGATAGAAAACCGGGTGGACTTCCAAGTAATACCGAAAAGAATCCAAGGGTGGCTCATGTAAATGCAATAACAACAAATTATGAGAAAATTTTCACTCCTTTAAGTCCAATTCGGAAAGAAGAATCAAAACCGGTGCAAGGGAAAGAAGAAAAGAATCGCGAATCACAAACTATGGCATCAACTTGCCGAGTCCCAGACAGGTACTCGACGAGTCCGAGGTCTGATGACAAAAACGGCTTTCGTTTAAAACCTTACCAGCCTCCTTTGCCATTTCCAAGCCGAGCCATTCAGAACAAGCAGATTCAAGAGTTTAAAAAGGTCATAGAGCATCATAGGGCACTTCAAGTGAACATCCCATTTATTGAAACAATCCTTCAAACGCCAAAATATGCAAGCTTACTAAAGGAACTCCTCACAAATAGAAGGAACATGGCAGAGGCATCAGAAATAGTTTTGAATGAATTACTAGAAAAGATGGGCAATCCAGGAAGCATCACTGTACCCTGCCAGTTTGGAAACTTGGTTACCACTTATGCATTAGCTGATTCGGGGCTAGTATAAATATTATGCCCTACTCTTTCTTCAAAAAGTTAAACCTTCCAGAACTTAAACCTATTCACATGACAATCCATCTAGCTGATAAAATGGTGATCCGACCAAAAGGAGTTTGTGAAGATCTTCTAATCAATGTGGATAAGTTGGTGTTCCCTGCTGACTTCGTAGTTGTGGACATGGAAGAAGACCCCAAGGTTCCAATCATCCTTGGAAGACCATTCTTGAATACCGCATGTGCCATAGTCGATATGCGCGAATCGACACTTACACTTAGGGTTGGGAATGATTCGGTTACTTTTGTCACTAATCAAGAAAAGGAGCATGAAAAAATCAATTGAAGATACGACTTCCTCAATAGAATTGGGTGATGAATTGCTAGAAAAAGAGTTCACACTCTGGGAAGAAAATAATTCAAAGCAATCAACATCCTTTTTAGATGAAGAGTTTGATGCTCAAAGAGACTTAAGAGAATTAGACAAGCTACTTGAAGGAAATGAAGACAATGAAGATCTAAGTAACTTTGAAGAAACAAATTCGACTTTTAATGAAAAGAATATGAAATATGAGGAAGCAATTCAAGTTGATAATAAGGAATGGTTGGAAGATGAAAAGGGCGTTATGGCTTTGAAAAATAAGGAGCATAACTCTTCCATTAACTTGCACACAAATAATCAAGAAGAAAAAAGGGATAAGCTAACCACAAGAACAAAACCTCGTGCTTCAGTTTCCACCTCCTTTGAAGTTTTTACTTTTAAACCACCGGATTCTCAAGCATATGAAGGAAGTGAGGTAGAATCCATCACCTCGAGTGATGCTGAAATGATGACTGAAAAGGCGATCGAGGTAGATAAAGGAGGAATGGACAAGATGGGGCACACGGTGGAAGAAAGGAAGAAGAAATGTGGTAAGGGCTAAAGCGTAAATCTGAAGGAAATGATACCAAAAGGAGAAAGGAAGAGTTGAAGAAGGCGTATAAGAGAAAAATCCATGCTTACAAAACAAAGTATAAAGCACAATGGATTAAGCTGGAATTCCCGATGGAGGAAGCCGCTGAAACGTAGAGCGGGGAGGAGTCCAACTAACGACTCCTCAAAAAGAAGCGCTTCTGGGAGGCAAACCGATATTAGAGTTTGCTTTCTTTTTACCTTTCTTTTTCATTTTAATTTTCGTCTTTTATGGTTTTTCTTAGGATTTATCTATCTCAATCTTCTTCTTTGTTTAAAATGATTGCTTGAGGGCAAGCAAAGCTCGAGTGTGGGGTATGGTGGC